ACCCAGCATTTGAGTCAAAAATCAAACTCAACATAGACATATTTACATAACCATTAGGCTAAATAATTGAATGAAGTGGAAAAACATACCTGTAAGTGAACTGGACAGAACTTGAATGTAATAAAATCACACATAGGCCAATACATGACACCGTTTAGCATCGTGGGAAGTAAGTCCCTTTTCAATCTAGCAACTATCTCTGAACCATTTTCACCTGAGAAAAAGGAATATCAAAATCAGACTTTGATGTCTTTACGACAAAACTAAGATCAAATTTAGCAACAATCCCCATTTCAAGAAAGAATGCATCATCAGATACAAACCGTCTGGAAAGGAACCGCTTAAATACTTTTCTTTTTTTCAATCACAGTTCATAGCTTTACCTTGTAAGGCTGCATTCAACGAGAAGAAAACAACATTCATGGCAGGCCCGTAAATCGTCTGTCCCATGGCCATTTTCTTAAACGTTGTAATCAAATCTCGTTTCGGGAAGATTCTTGACATGAGATTGAACCAATAGTGAAGTGTAGGACCTAAGATTAACAAACCAAATCCTGCCATCCTTGCTGTTCTTTCCAAATCATACGAATCTACCGAAGCTTGCGGAATCGTCTGTCCAAAAAGATCCAATATTAGCTCTCTATGGTCACATTTATCAACTATACAAAGTAGAAACAATCCTTCTAACTTCGAAAACGATTAATGGATATACACTCACTTCTAACTTCTACCATATGTTAGAAACCAAAACTAATGTTCAAATTTCAGTCTCAACTTCAAGAAAACCAACACTGAACATGCAACTCTGGCATAACTTAAATCAAAAGGACCAAGCTTTACAGCTTCTGATTCACATTTCAACACAAGATCACACTTTTGCAATTCTAAAGCTCACAAATTTCTCACAACAGTAACACACATGTCGAAACTCGAAAACCCCAAAACGAGAAAAATTCACCTGTGAAGACAAATCAGCGGCTATGTAAATAAGCGAAGACGTGACGGATTTGGTGAAAACCGGCTTTGATTTCACCATACCTAAATACCAACCAATGAATCCAGCCTTCGAAAACGACGCCGTAGAGGCCGTGGAAGACGAAGCAGAACAGAAACCAGAGATTAAAGAAGAAGGAGAGACTCCGGTTTCCTTTGCTTTCCCGAGAAAGTGATTCGTACGAAAATAAGGCCTCGATTGCAATCTTCCGATGTCTCCTCCTCCGGCTCTGAGTGACGACGGATCGATCTTCCCGAACGGATTGACCGTCGTTGTTCGTTGTGACCGGAAGATCCGAGCGGCGTCGGAGGCAGCGGTTCTGAACAATGCTCCGGTCATGATGGGCTCCGAGAGTTTTGGAGGTTTCAGGGGAAGGGTTTTTATATATGACGGCGATGGTGAAGAAGAAGACAGAAGACAGACGCTCTG